ACATAAACAAAATAATTAGTACCGTTCAGTATTGTCAGCCAGGCTCTGGGTTTGCTTTCCGGACACAGAAAGCCACAGCCCCTGTGTGTGCGCCTGGGTCCCCATCAGCACCGCAGACCTGCTGCGTGGGGACGAGGGTCGGGGGTAGCAGGGCTGGGAACTGCAGCTCGGCATCTTGTCTTAGGAGGCTACTGGCTGCCCTGGAAGAAAGCAGGATGAGGATTTTTATTGCTCAGAGAAGTGTAATTTTGCTTCTCCTTAGGATGGGTGAGCAGCTCTGGGCTCACAGAAGGAAGACGTCTGCCTGATTGGTCCAGTAAGTACACCCAGTGCCACTGCAGCCGGCAGGACACAGACACAGAAAAGTGAACACACAAAAGCAGTGTGATGAGAGGCAAACCCCCTCCCAGCTTCTCCCAGAGACACAGGCACTTGGCCCCAGAGGATGGGGGAGAAGGGACACGTGCCTGGCCATACCCCTTCACTGCCCGCAGGTACTGACTCCAGAGATTGGATCAACTTGTTTGTACACAGAAAGTTGCTCAAAATGCCTCTACAGCCACTTGGGGTGGGCACAGAGGTGTGAAAGGCAGCTCTCTTGCCCGTCCATGTGCACAGACAGATGGCACACACAGCTCCAACAGCGGACGCAGAGCACGCAGACATGAGATACGCATGGTCCAGACCAGCACGTGCAGGTGCGCTTCCTCTCAAAATCCCCTGCAATAGGTGTCCAGGAATTCATCAAACATAAGCAAATCCCCTCCCTGCTGCCTTCTCCTCTGTCCTCTGTAATCACCTGCCTTCTTTTCCTGACAGCTACTCCATTTTTAAAATCACACCCTCTTTTCTCTGTGCACTCCCATTGCTTCAGTACAAATTTCTGTTTATTGAACAAAAAAGTTGTCAGTCTGTTTCAGCAATGATTTCAAAGCAACTGTTACGCTGCTGCAGATTCATCCTCAGGTACGTCTCGTTTGTAATAAAATCGCTCTGCCCTTGATCCAACCTATGCACACACATTGCTTTTTGTGTACACACGCAGCCTTACTCATTTTAGTGGGAGTGCGTGCCTGTGCACTTCAAATTCAAAGCAGACGGAGTCCTTCATGCGATTTTCCTAGCAACAGCAGTGGAGTACAAAGCTGCCGCTGCATTGACCAGCAGCTGGCTGATGTTCAGGCAATTTGGAGGATCAGGTCAAAGCATTCAAGTAAGGATGGGGAGCGTGTGTCCATTTTCCTTTAATCAGAGATTCAGGTTTTGCTGTGAATAAAGTGGTAAAATTTCCAGGGAAGTGCAAAATGGGGACTAAATTCATTAGGAAGCGTGTGCCTGTGGTTCTCCCCAGGGCTGTGAACTCACAGGAGAGAGGAGGAGGTCACAGCAGCGCTTACAAACAGACACTAATGCTGAAATTCAGGGATGCCAAGTATTTTCCTAGTGCTAAAATCAGCACAAGGAGAAAGCACAGGAAGATATTTACTTTTTTCTCTCAGCAGCCAAAAGATCCCCCTTCCTTTCAAAGGCCAGCCAGGCCCATAGCAGCTCTTAGGAGCCCTTTTCAAATCTGCCATAGCACACCTGATGCTGATGAGACTCCTCCACCATTTCTAGACCAAGGAGCTACTCACTTTTTAGTAAAAAGATCTACAAAAAAATAATTTAAACCCTGAAAGACTGGGAAAATATTTTAAAAGCCACCAGATGAAACTCAGAAACTGAAGCGCCACAGACCTCATCAAACGCTCCTCACCAGGGTGTTTAACATCAGGACAGTTTCCTGAATCACTTTGATCACAGGTGTTTCATACACTTCAAATTACACAAAAATGTCTCCTTCTTCTACAGCTGGGGCTTTTCTCCTGGCTTTTATGCAAAAGCCCCTACTGAAATGAGTTTCTGTATTCTAAACAATAGAAATTTAACAGCGTGATCTGAACACAAAAAATCTATTAAGCTCTGTCTCCTGAAAGCAAGTTTCAGTTGACTTGAATAACTATTTGAATGTGAGTTACACATAAAGGGGCTTCCAAGGGCCGCCTACCCTAAAAGCAGTCATAAGAGCACCCTGGGGGAGGAATTAAAACTAACTTTTCATAGCATGTTTCAGCATCTTAATAAATAAAAAGACAACAAAGGTTCACATGAACAGTAAACCCCGATGCGCATCGGCCAGGTGACAGGCAGAATTTAACACATTTTTCCAAAATTATTCTGCAGAGCACACAAAGCCCTGCACCTCCAGCCCCAGAGCTACCTGCCTGCACACTTTTAACTCTGGGGGAGCTGCCTGAAGGCAGGCACCAAGGGCTTGCAGCTCTACTCATGCCTAATGCTGGGGTCAGGAGGAGGAGAAGCCTGGATGCCCCTGCCTCCCTCCCAGACCCACCACCATCAGGCAGCTGCAGAGCTGGGGACAAGCAGCAGGGACTCAGACACTTCCAGCCTAGGAGAAATAATAATGAGCTTAAATGAATTCAAGCTCCCAAAGATAAAAGCGGTGCAAGTGAGGACACATAGGGGAACAGGGCGATGCAGCAGACGCTTTAGCTCCAACACCACACACGCTCGGTTTTCAATAGCTTCACATTGTCGCCTCATGAATACAGGAAAGGAGAGCACCAGCACTTCATACAGGACCTCAAAACTGGAAGTAGGGCGGCCTTCATTGCCCCAGGCTGGCAGGAGTAACAAGACACCGTGTGGAAGCAGAAGCCAAACTTTCCGCTGATGCAAAGGAGGCTCCACAGGCTGCTCCGGGCTTTGCACGAAGGAAAAATGTCCTTCTCCCCACCACCCCTTCCTGCCTGCTTATTTTGGGGTTGTGGGGAAGGCTGCAAGAGTGAGATGGTGGTTTAAACCGCAGCTTAAACAGAAAGTATCAGCCTTGATAGTGTTTTCAGATCTTCCCAAAACAGGCCAGAAAATGTGTGTGAGGTGCTGCCTCTGAAAGTCAAGAGGCAGCAAAAGCATGAGCCACGTAGTAGCTGCTCTCTCAGACACAGAACAACAAATGAGGGCTGGTGTTTCCAGAAGCCACTTTGCTATCTCACTGCCTTCATGGCCAAATGAAGCTCAGAGAGGGGAACCACCTGCCCAGGACTATCCGAATGATTTACCAGGGACGCTCAGCTGGTGTTATTTACCTCCTCAGTGCCTTCAGACAGTCCCAGGATCACAGCTCCATTTTGAGGCACGTCGCCCATGCCCAGCTGCGCTGCAGGACACAAGCTGACATGGCACGCTGGGGTGAGAGCACTGCAGGCTGTTTTGTTGCCCCCAGTCTGTATTGCCTACAAACAGCACCAGTCACACTTTGTGTTGGTTCCCATCCCTTCGCTATCCAGCATTTGGAGAGGCCAAATTTAAGGCTCCAGGGGAGCTCACATATTTGGGGTCAATTTTACCTCCCCTAAAATCACAGATAAAACGCTCCAAAGATACATATGCCCCAGAGCCATGTATATTGCAGTGGGCAAGTCCCCTGCCTTGAGCTTCTGGCCACTCACTGAGGGGTTGCCTGTCCCTAGGAGAAATGGCACCCACGAAAGCTGGGGCGCTGGATGGCTTCCAGCACGGGGCTGACCTCCAGCCGTGTGTCACTGTCCCCATCCTAAAGAGCAGCAGCAACACGGGGAGACGCCTACAGCTGGATGGGGCAGAAGGCTGGGTGGTCTGTCAGCTCCCTGAAACTCCACACCAAAACCACCAAGCTCCCAAGGCTTGGGAGCCTTCAGACCACGCTTCAGCCAAAGTAAGCTGACACAGACGCGTAGGAAGGTGCTAGCAGGCCACTGTGCTGCTCCAGACAGGTACTCGAGGCACTGACTACGTGGTGTGAAGTTCAAGCACCTATCTAGCTATGTTCGCACTGTGAGAAAAGAGGTTTGGTTGAACCATAGCAGATTCTCGGCACAGGCTCATGTTGGGAGTCCCAGTGCAGCTGCTCAGCTCGTTTATTGTAGTTTCCTCACTAAAAAGATCTTCCAGAATGTCATCCTGTCCTCTATCAATCAGAACTGAATTCACATCTTTAGTATGGATACATCAGGATTTAACTAGTTCTCCACACAATGTGTCAGGAAGGGTAGCTAAGATCCTTGATTGCATCTTAGCCTTTAAATTAAAAGCTTTTTCTCAAACAAAAACTTTGTACCTGTACACAAGGAGCTGCACAGCTTTGGCACCTACAGAACATGCACTGCAGGCACATCTATCTTATATGTAACACATATTGGGGAGCAGACTGTAAAGCAGGGGGCTTCAAAAACATTAACAATCTGCCTTTCTGCTTTCTCAGCAGAAAAGAAAGCAAGGGCCAAATTCGCTAACCCCTTGCTCAGATAAGCTGTTATTATTCATGGGAGCAAATCTGTTTATACCAACATACTCATTTGAGTACAGGTTGTGGAACTGGGCTCTAAATCCCTGTATAACAAAGCCTTCATAACGATTTCGAGTTTGTTCCCAGAGCTCTAAACAAGCACCATTATGAAGTGGCTTTGTGCTGGGTAAACACCACAGGAAGGAGTGGCCAAGGGGGACCAGCTGTGGGGACAAGCTGGAAAAACTCAGGCAAGCGTCTGTGTACGGAGAGCTTTTTTTCCAAAGCAAGCTCTGCAAGCAAGAATGAGACTGGATTTCCCCAGTGTACACACTTTCAGCATCCCAACCTTTCCTTTCCAAATATAATCTGCTGTTCAGACTCTGACACGGCAGACTGGCTCCTGCGTATCACGCTGACATGCAAGCCTGGGGCGCAAGTCGCCGTGGTAGCTTAGCCTGGCTTGTTCCAGTTTTTATGTTCTGTCTGAAATGGGATGTCAGACTCCACCTGCCATTGAGCCAGCACGTCTGGTTTGTGCTTGGAGACCCGGTGCTTTCACAGCCACGCTTGATACTAGAGTTTGGGGAATTAACTGGAAGGTCTGAGCACACCACTTTGCACAGAACCCTTTCTTTTCTTTTCCTAAAAAATTAACAAAAGGAGAGGGAGAGTCTAAAATTAATCCATTGATGTTCTTCAGGGAATCTGATGAAATGTGCTTGTCAGAAAACACTTGGTAGACTGACAGGATGTCTCCCACAGGCAAGCCAGCCTCTGGCTTTTTAATTGTGCATGGCATGATCTGAGTTCATAGGCACGACAGCAAGTTGTGCTTTCACTGAAGAATCTTCCAAAATGAGCCAAGAGGAATCTCCAGTGAGCAGAAGAAGGCATGTAAAAGTAAACCCATCAGTTTAGATAACATGCCACATTCTTGGTCAAGTAGACATGGTTTGATACAGCTGGAACTCACAAGCATACAGACCCTGGGAATCCAGCAAAAATCTCTCATATCCTTTTACAGGAACATTGCCGACTGGCGAAAAACATGCACAGGAAATCAACTGAGGGTGGGGAGAGGGAGATCACGTAACAAGTCTTCTGTCCGGGCTTTCCCAAGTCGGCCACGCTGGCTAGTAGTGGTGCTGGTACACAGCTGCTGGCATGGTGCCATTCTCTATGTGCTTCAGATGACAGGAGTGACAAAGCAAATGTTCATCTAGGGGGTAACAGCGATGCCCGTCCTCGTCGTTCAGCTCCATCCCACAGTCCTGCAAAGAGAGCCCATGCAAATGATTAACACATGTATTCATCTTCTAGCCTTGTACACATTTGTCTTATGCAGCTTTATTGAATAAGCTTTATCTCGTGGTGAGGTGCAACCCTATGTATTTTGAATGTGCTCGTGTCTCCTTACACTCTCAGGTAGGATTCACCTCTTCACATTACATTAATTGCAGTTGTACCGATGTGAAACTGATCCTGACCTGAGTCAGGGCCTCTTTCCACTGCACACAAGTACAGTGAGAAAAGACATCTATTTATTTTAATTCAGAGCAGAAGCATGAAGGCTCTTGGTGAAACTCTGCATGGAGACCATATGGTTTTTAAGAGCTGGTATATCCTGGGATTTTTTTTGTGCAGCCATACCCTTTCTCCAGCCCCAGTGACACATTCATTTCCCATGCAAGTGAAGGTAATGCACTCCAGACAGGATCAGTCACCACCTTAGCATTTTTGAACAATCTGACTTGGAAATCAGATACACTGATGTGACCTATGATCAAGGCTTCTGAAAGGCAGCAGTAGAACCTGACTCGGTCACCACATTTCCTTTGTTAACAAATAAACTGCCAAGTTTAAAAGTGATAATTAGCTCTTCGCCCATACTTTTATGGATAGCAAATGAAATTGCAGCTGAGACACCTTACTGCAAAAACTTTTGCCCTAAAATTTGAAAGTTTCTCAGCCACTGATAGAAAGAGTTGCAAAATGCAAGGTTTGAATTGCTCATCTACTGGGACTAGAAGGGAGGAAATTTATTTCCATCTTAAAAATAATAGTAATTCTCACTACTAATTGCCCACTCCCTCAGAAAGCTGCTGACCCACCTCACAGTGATAGCACTCCACGTGGTAATCCTTGTCCATGGACACAACCCGAATGGTCTCATCCGACCCCTGTAAGTGTTCAAGCAAAAGAGACATTACAAGGGATTACAGCAGGATCAGACACGTGCGCTCTGTAGACTGCTTCCTGCAACTACGTGGATGTTGAACAAATGCATCTGAGCTGCTGGTTGGACACTACAAATAAATCCTGCCACCTGCAGTTATTTTTACAGTAAAGCCTCATCACTGACTGCAGATATCCTCCAAAATGTATTATCAGAAATGTTCAATTCTATCTGTTTAGCAGTCATATCTATCCCAAATCAGGCATTAATGATTTGGTAATTTCAGTAGATCACATTTCTCAGCATTTTAATTCGGTTTTGCCCAAGATTAATCTCCTCCAAGCATCAAAACACGTTCATCCCAGCGGGGTCACACACAGAGTTCATTCATGAGCACCACCAGGATTTATTGACATTAAGGAAAGATATCCCCAAAATAAAACTAACAGCAGTATAATCCTGCAGGAGATTAAAAAAGCAGTCTGGCTCAGCAGAAATAAGCATCATTATCGAGCAAAAGAAGGGCCACATCTCCTGGGCAGTGCATGAGCCTGGGTGAAAAGGCTGCACGCCAGAGGAAGCGATCATCTCCCCATCCCCAAGGACATTTGCCTTGACATAGGGTCAAGTGTGAAAGACAGCAGGGCTTGAGGCATGATGCTCCCTCCCCAGAGGGGACATCAAATAAAAGGCTCTCACCTCGGAGGGCAGAATGGGAAGTCCACACGCTGCACACTTTGGAGCTAAGACTCTGGAAGAGCAATGAGAAAGTGAAGGCGAGTTATAGGTTGACATAAAAAGAGGCCTGGATGTTCTCGGTGCTAAGACAAAAAGCTGCAGCTGTAAATAACTTATCCACAGGAAAGCTTTGCACCCCGAGATTATAAATTCATTTTAGGATTGCTTCTAAGTGATGCTTGGCACACATTGCTCAGTTAGGCAAAAAGAGATCTTACATTTTACATTTAGTGCCAGAAAAAAACAAACCCACTGTAGAATTTTTGGCTGCTACTGAGAGATTTGGAAGAGAGGATGAGGAGAATCTGAACAGGACCATCCCCAGAAAAATACATTAAAATAAGTGGTAGCCTTGCACCGAGGCAGGAAACCTCAAAGAAAACACCATGGGACTGTAAGGTTCCTTGAGGCCTTGTAACACAGCGTAACACGATAGATAGATAATTATATGAAATAGGAAGGAAATGTGCATAATTTCAGAACAACAGTAGCACACAGAGGCAACTCAAACCTTGGCACAACACAGAACAGTCCTCAGGGCTGCCTGAGTAACGCCTAATACTCTGCTGCTCCGAAAATGGAGCAAGGCAAGCCAAACAGACACTCAAAATGTATGCAGCTCCAATATCATAACTACCAGCTAAGAGCACAGCTATTTCATTTTACTAAATGACAAATGCCTTTTTAAGTGCATTTATTGGCTGTTTAATTTCGAGCTGGCTCAAAGTTTCACTATGATTTCTAAAAGCATTCTTTAGAAGTCATACTCACCCCTGCAGCTACTCAAAAAGCAACTCACATTGATTTCAGCAGGCATTCACAGTCTGACTTCAGAGCGGACTAATTTCTTACACCACTTAACACTTCCTGAGCACTATTTCTCACCATTTCTGCTTTGCAGAAGGGGCAGCTGAAGCCCAGGGGTTATGTTACTTCCTCAGAGTTACACAGAAAGTCAATGGCAGGGCAAAAGGAGAGACATGAGGAATTTTTGAGTCTAGCCCCATCCTCAAACTTCTCCCTTCTAATCCTGTCCCTATTTTACTAATAATGCTTCCTAATTAGCTGAAAATTAGAGGCTTGTTGATTGGAGCATCTCTGCTGTTTATTTTGTCCTTACTTGTGGTAATCTCTGACGCAGTAGATTTTGTTTTCAGAGTCTACAGTGAATGGCACACCATCCAGACACTCGTTGCACACCACGCATCGGAAGCAGCCTGGATGATACGATTTCCCTAAAGCCTGCAGGATCTGCAACACACCAAGAGACAGGACAAAAAAAACATGTGAACAGCCAGTAAAGGGGAAAATAACAAACACATGGCTCTACATCAGATAATGCTGCATATTCATCAGCGGAGCAATGTCTTTTTTCAGTCACCTCAACTGAAAAATGAGCTAACAGGGATAGAAAGGGCAGATGGAATCAATATATATTGCCTGGTTCCAGGGAAATGATTTATTAGCATGGGTAAGAAAACAATTTAGAGTCTCAGTTAAGGTATTTAGCATTACAAAGGATAGAAGTGACAGAATTTAAAGGACAGAAAATAATTTCTGAAGCCAACAGTTGGAGAATACTTAGCAGGATCACAAGACAAGATGCAGCAGGCCCGCAAAAGGAAATACATCTTTATATTCTGCATGAGAGGCCGAAATAAACACTATTTCTAGGTTTTCATAATGCCTTAGATATCCAAGAGCTTTGTACTCACTAGCCTGGCTTTCGAATTAACACAGACTATGGAAACTGTATTGAACTCAACAGCTGCCATTCACCTGCTGGCTTTGGGGCAGAAATTACTACCTGGAATACCACTTCTGAGTATAAAACAGCTTTTCCAATTTTAATGCTTTCCAGCGTAAGCAGGCAAGCAAAGAGAATTAATGAGAAGCATTAGAAAGTCTTGGGGGGCGTGCTGTGAACTAACTGCTCAGAAATTCCTTGTTTCTTTGCCTCAGCCATAGCTCACCCACTACATGACCATGAGTTTGTCTCCCTCTGAATACCCCACAACTGAATGCTGGCTAGAGGCCAGGTGACCCCCTGAGCCACGACCCACTGCGTGCAAATCTGGAGTGGACAGTGCCTGCTGTAGGCTAATGAGCACTGCCTTCTTCGGCAGGATGTCCACACATCTACTGAGCAGTTGTCAAGGACTTGGACAGGTCTGAAATGAGGTCTGGAGCACATACTCTAGGACGAACCTGTTCCCCCAAGTTACCAGCCCAACACCTTCCAGCACCCACAGCAAGACAGCAGCTTCACCCTGAAGGTACGTGGGAAGCCACGGCTTGACTGCAGGAAAGACAGGCTCAGCAGAGCTGCACTGATGCCCCACAGCACTTCAGAGCAGGAAGCATCAACAAGATTATTAATACACTGCTCAGGGAAGCCCAAAAGGGGATGAAAGAGCTGAAGGCTCTGATTTTCAATTTGCACTGAAAACAGGCAGGGCAAAGTCTCTGCCTCGCATACAGCAGGGTGCCAGCTTGACTTCCTCACAAAAACCAACAAAAGGCTTAGTGGATTTTCTTTCTGCTACCAATCTCACACTGGGCAAGCAACCAGGTGATAACAGGAAGTACTGGATATTAATTTATTTTGCTTTTCATCCATTCTTCTAAAAAGCCGTGGGATTTTTTCTCCTAAAGCAATTATCACTTACCATGTCCATTATCAAATGGCCACAAATGAAACACCTGTCAGCTGACTGCTGGAAACCAGAATACTGCAAGGACAAAAAAGAATTGGCTTAAAATTTCACAAGGCTAGTTGAGCATAAACAACAGCATATTATGGGGTATTATTTGCTTGACCTTTTTATCTGTACTCCTTACACAAGCTAAACTTTCCAGTGCTTTTTTCAGTATATGAAGCTGTGGATGGGTCCCCAAGGATAATTCTATAAAGACATCAGACTTCCAGAACAAGTACCAGTTCCTGTAACAATCAAGTCCTAAATTTAGGTTTAATTAAGGATATAAGTAAATACCACAAATGCAGATGTAAATAAGGCATTTACTGATAAGACTTAACATTCTTATTTGACCACGTGAATCTACAAGCCAGGAATTTGTGTTTATCACAAATTGATATCACTGCATCTGCATACATAGGCTCGGAAAGCCAAATTCTTCCTTTGGTTACATTGTTATAGATCTACTGGAGCTTCTCTGAGGTCAGTGGTACCATCCCAGCTCTCTGGTAGTATCATTCAGATTTGGCCCAGAGCACCCTTCTTGCTGCTATTGCTAAGATCTAACAGTGAGGAACTGTCTGTCATGTCCATGGCATGCATCTCAGGCACGACACATCATCTGTCTAAGGTTTCGTTCCTGTCTGAATGGTGGAAATGAAAACTAGGAAAATGAAATATTTTAGATGCATTTAACCAATCTTTCGATTTTCAGCCTGTGCAGAATATACTGATGAGAGCACTTCTCTCTGACAGAAATCACTAGACTTCCCCAATAAATAGGTAAATATGAAGGCTTAATCTATGAAGGATCTAGGACAGGCTGGGTATATGGCTTTTTACCTCCACCACCCCAGGAGAGGGCCATGGGGTTGCTTCATGCTCAGGTACCTTCACATAAAATCCCTTGAGGACAATGGAAAAGATATCCATTAAGATGCTCAAGAAAAACCAGTCCATTGGAAAGGGAAATTCACTCTCTGATTCTTCTGTGGCTGTACATCTCGCTTCTGTCTCCACAGCATGGTCACAGAGACATGCTTTGAAAGAGCTCTGAAGGTGTAGTGCAAGAGACTACGGCTTCAACTAGAGGCTCTGGACTGCAAAACCATGGCCCTTCACTCGGCTACACATCAGCATCACATGTGGGCAACCACCTGGGCTAGCCCTGGGTAAAGTGGAAGCAGAAGGGCCAGGCAGGATGCTGGACCAGAGCCATGTGAAACATGGGCAGAGCTGATGGGCAGAAAGGCTGTATGGCTGCTGAAGAGGCTGAGATGTGTGAGCACAAGGGTCAGTTGGGAGCTTACCAGGAAATCTTCTTCACAGAACACCTTGCCATTGACAAAATAAAAGGCTTTTCCTCTCAGCTTTCGACCTGAGGAAAAAACACAGAGAGAAGAGAAAGATCAGCAGGGAGCAGGGAGAAAATGTGAGCAAAAGGTGGCTGCTGAGAAGCGGACAGCATTGGAGCACAGCTGCCACACAGCTGGAAAAGAGCACCCAATCCCAGCATGGGTCTTGCCAGCCTCCAGCAAGACCAACTCCGTCTTCTCTTCCACTGATGGTGGCTGATAAATGCCAATTGCTCGATTCAGGACAACAGTAAACCTGTTGAGAAAAACCCAGGAGAGGAGCAAGGAGGAGCAAGGGCATGCAGAAGGTGATCCATACTTGACATCGTTCCCCAAAATGCCAGCTCCCCTGCTTTTTCACTGGGAGGTGGCTTTGACCAGCAGCTGTCAGAAAAGCCAAGGCCATACGCAGCCACCTGGTCTACCTCCAGCAGAGTACAACATCGGAGCACTGAACATGCTACTCACTGCTCCCTACTAGAATATTCATTACTGCAGCTGCCAAGAAAGATTTTAAAGCATTTTTTTTAATTTCTTTTTTTCAAACCAGAATCTCATAACAGAGATAAGATGACAGAAGTTTTTTCCAAGAAAGGCCTCTACACATGGGGAAGATTTATATTTATTGCCGCTTTCATGTTCATGCCTCGCAGTCACCGCCTGTTTTCAGTTCCACAATAACTATGGAAACGCATGCTTACGCTGCCGCCACTTCTACTAAATGCCCTGCCTTCCCCCTGGAGAAAAGGGCTAGGTTTTGGTTGGTTATAAAAAGCTGCTCCTAACTCTTTGCAGCCCAGTTTCCCAATTCAGTCAGGGGTATGAAATGCAGCCTAGCACTGGAGCAGCTTTGGTTGGTCAAGGAGCCCCAAACATGCCCAGAGGCAGTGTCCAGGGCAGGGGGAGCAGCACTGCCCAGGCACAGCCAGAGCGGGACCTGCCGCAGGCGAGTTTTGGGGACCTGCCAGGCATTGCTGGAAGGAAATCGGAACTGAGACACCCAGGCCCAGAAGTCTCCTGCTTGATATGTGTGTATAATTAAAAGATGATCATCAGCTGCTAGGTGTGTAAACGTAGACAACACGTAGGGCTGGTCTGAAGCTCACCTCTTGGTGCTTTACAGCATGCACCTACCTGGCAGCCTTTGACAATTAACCAGGCTGGCTGCAAAGTGTTAAGAAAAGGAGGAAGCCAAGTAAAACCACTTCAATAAATGAAGAGCTTTACTGTCTCCTGCACACACCAGAGGGCACTCTCAGGCTGAGAAACAACTCACGCTGCTGCTGGGGAAATGGAGATGCTCCAGAGAAGCTCCAGAGTTTTGCCAGTGAATTCAGTGAGACCAACATGGACATCGGACAGGACACAGAAGAAAACCCAACAAACCCAAAAGCATACCACTCTGATTTCTCTCACCCACCCTGATTCTTTGCCAAGGTTGCTGACACCAAATGGGACCCAGAGCCCAAACTAAAAAGTATCTAATTTTGGGTGCATTAGCTTTGTAGCCTATAACCCAGGGTGCGTATTTGTATGGTAACTCTGCTGTGTGCCTGCCCATTCACAGATAAGCCCCACATGCTCACCAGTAGTTGCAGAGTCCCAATTTCTGAGGAGGGAAAGGAGAGGCATGGGGGGAATACCTGGGATTTGCAGCATCCTTGTCAACGGTGGTCCTAAGTGAGTTAACAACAAATCTAATGCAGCAAGAAGTACCCCCGAAAATCTCCCGCTGATTTAAATACAGCATTGGGATTCAGCACTCCTAAAAACAACAAACAAACAAAACCCATTCAACTTTGATTTTAAATTACGCTCCATTTTAGTGCAACTGGCAGGTGCCCAAGCCACCTTCCACCTGCACGCCACGAGGAGACACTGCTTTGGGAGACAGCCGGTGCGCGAGCAGCAGCCGTCACGGCAGAGGGGCTGAGGTTTGGATCGCTGCCACCACCTCATTCCTCCACGGTGACAAAACCGGTGCTTACCAGCCATTCCCCACCCGGCGTATTTTTAACCCGGTGACATTAGCAGGTCAAGATTGATGGCAACAGACCTTCCGAGAAAGTGCCACAGCCGCTGCGCTGTGCCTGGGCTTCTGCTGCAAGCTCATTCGGCAGAGGGATAAACTGCTTTATAAAGGGTTGATAATTTGGCTGTTGGCATTACATGGGTCAAGGAAGGAGAGGTGCTGACATCAAGAGCACTTTGAGGAGCAGGGGGGGATGATTTAATAACCTTCTTTTGGGAAGAGTGGTCGTTTTGACTATTTTTAGCTTCTTTCCATAACCCTCTTTAAGCCCCTGGCAGAAGCATAAATGGAAATTTGCCAAAAAAGTGAGTAACTTGGTACCCCTGCAGCCGCCACGGGAGCAGTGCATGCAGACAGAGCCAATTTCTTCCTCTGCCGCTCTCCGCCTCTCCCTGCCTGCACCAGGATGGACTTCTCCTCCCACCACCCCTTTGAGGTGAAGAAGCATCTCCTCATCATACGCATGGGAAAGCAGGTTGCAGGAAAAGCTCACTTCCCCAGGCTGCGCTGGGGACTGCCCCGGCGGGGCCGGGAAATGCACGTTCTGGCTGCATCCACACCAGTAAAACAAGCAGTGCTGGGACTGCCCCACAGTGCAGAGCTGGGAGGCAGTGACTGCTGTCCCTGTGTTGAGCTTCCTGCTCCGCGACAGTGCTTTACGCTGTACAAGTCCTGGCACAGGTTTTGCTTGAACATGGAGATGCTGTCGTTATTTCACTGAAAGGAAGGATTGAGAACTTAAACGGCCTACAAGGAATCATATATTGATCACTGCCTACTTTAAATATGCATCATGGTGACTACAGAGACAACAGCCTTTGATAAACCCAGGAATATTAGTGCATGGCTTGCAGCTTTCAGGATCAGTTGCCTTACTACATGTCCTAAGGTGCTGGCTCCTGACCGTATTTCGCTTTCACTCCACTCTGAATTTAGCTAACCTCTCACCTGAAAAAAGTCAGACAATTAAAATTATTTGGCATTTCAACCCTACTATCTTCATTCGTTGTTAAAAGATTTCTTGTTCCTGCTCCTGACAGGAGGTTTGAGCCTTGTGCTTTTATGTACTCCTGATCACTAACATGTCTGTCTAATCTGTTTAGTTGCGGGACCTCCAGGATGACCTGGAGGTCATTTAAGCACCAATTTCAGAATATTTCAAGCTTAGTCACTAGTGGCTTTGCGCTAAAATAAACACACTTTGCTCAACAGCTGATAATAGGCATACAACCAGGCTGCACTCCCAGGATGCTGCTGCTTTTGTCCCTTGCTTTCTTAAATGAGAGCACTCTCCTTTTGAAGTTCATAGGGAGAGGGGACCTGCAACGGTCCAAGGAGGATGCTGGGAGATGCTGGGGAGCTGGACTCAACTTTCTCCTTTGAAGTTGCTTTTCCACGATTTCCTAAAAGGGCAATGAGGTCACAAACCCATGTTCAAAGACAAGAGATTGCTCTCGCTGCATGTAATGGTACAGGGCCATGTCCAGATCCCAGGGGATGCATGACCAAGGACGCTGCCGTTACAAAAATCAGTCCTTCTTAGAGTGCCACAGCTTCAAGGTTTGGACATGCGATTAACGGCACACTAATGGGACAGCAGGCTGGAAACACCGTTCATCTCACTGCTAAGGATCAAAACAAGCTCTTCCTCAGTCCGGGGTGGCTCTGGCCCAAGCTGATGTCCTTCCCCCAAGTTTTCATTTCCCCAGCATAGAAGTATGAGGGGGTTCGGACTGAAGGACGCACTCTGGTCCATGCACACACCCTGCAGGCAGCGCAACGGTGCCTCGGCTGCCCCACACCATACAGCAGTCCCTGCTGCCCACAGTTCAGCAGCACATGAAACCCACTGGTGCCCGACCACGTGTTTATGGAGCCCTGTGTGGATTTGCTGACAGTGTACTACCGTGCACAGCAGCAGAGAGCAATACCTGACTTCTGCCATCTGTGCTATTTCTGCTGGCTGACATTAAAGCTGGATGTGGCACTGAGCCTGACGCAGAAGCGTCAATATTTCCAATCCGCTCTTGAGCTGGGGCTGCATGAAAGAGTCACTTAAGATCCTCCAAATCAGGTAAACCCAGAATGTGATCAACCAGTGGACACCCCAGCTCAGATCAAAGCCTTGGTGAAACCGTGGGCAGGAGGATAGGACATCTCTTAGAAAAAAACACGCTAAGACACAGTAGCTCCGTAACCATTAAGATGTTCGGTTTCTCTTTCAGCTAGACCAGCTGTATTGTAAAACTGCAAAAAACTCCCTCCACCCTCTCACCCCACACATTTGAGGCAGTTAAAAAAAACCCACCAAAACTCTAAAATAAATTATCTGATGCCTGAAAGCCAAAAGCATGCGCTGGCACACGTCAGAAAAGGTCAGCCGCCACTAATGGCAACGCAACCACAGGTGAAGGCAGCAACGGCTGCTCAGAGGGAAACACTGCAAAACCACAGCGAGCCACACAGCCGAGCAGCACCTCTCCTTTGCTGATGGCAAGCTGTTGCAAGAAGATATTCAAACGGTTTTCCTCGCTAGGGAAAACCCCTAGAAGCTTCACAATTCAGAGGTAAGATCAAGTCTCTCTGGGAAAAAGCAGTGCTATGATTGGGGTGGGGGGCCCTGCTGAGGTACTGGTTTTTAATCCAGTGTTCAGCTGCTCTCTGCATCACTGTGGGGACAGCTGCCCTGTTCCCCAAAATGCACCAAAGCCACGCAGCCATTGGAGCTGATCTCCCACACCGTCACCCCTGACCGTCACCGAAATGCGCGGAGGCTCAGAAGAGGAAGGCGGGGGAGGCAATCTGTGTCCTCAGGGAATGTAACTCTGCATTGAAACTACACAAGAAAGCAATTTTTAAATTTCTTAAGGTATGGAAGAGGCCTCAGTGCTTACTGAGCCACTACTTAGAAAATTATTTATAGGTACCATTAAAAGAAACCCTCTAAAATCTTTGGAGCACAATTAATCCTGTGTCTGTTCTT